TTCAGAGAAATGTCATGATGCTAACTACTCCAGGGATGATTTACTGTAGCTATTTGTCTTCCTAATTATTTTCTGTGCTATTGACTATTCTGTTTGCATGAAAGCCATTTGATGCGTCATGAATGTGCATACACAGAGAGGTATTAAGTTTGTGTTTATTTTTATAGGAATGTTCCCCATATGCCGCTCATCTCTATGATGCTGAAAATCCTCAAACACCTCTTAGGAACCTCCCAGGACTTTGCTCTGACTACTGCTTTGAGTTTCATTTTAACTGCCATTCTGCTATCACACTGCTGACTAATGACAAACACATCCAGGAGTGCTGCGAGAGGAACACGACCCGCTTCTGTAACCTCCTAAACCTGCAGGATCAAGACTACTGTTTTCCCAACGTCCTAAAAAACACAGACCTAAATCGGAACCTGGGATCGGTGGTGGAGGACCCCAAGGGCTGCCTTCAACTGTGCCTGACAGAAGTTGCAAATGGGTTGAGAAATCCAGTACTGATGGTACATGCTAATGATGACACTCACCGTATGTTTATAGCTGAACAGGTGGGAATGGTCTGGGTCTACTTGCCAGATGGGAGCCGGCTGGAGGAGCCTTTTCTGGATATCAAGAAAATAGTGTTGGCTTCCCCATGGATAGGGGATGAGAGGGGTTTCCTAGGAATGGCTTTTCACCCCAATTATAAATACAATGGGAAATTCTACATCTATTATTCATATATGGACAAGAAAGTGGAAAAAATCAGAATCAGTGAACTACAGGTTTTGGCATCTGATGTCAATAAAGCTGACCCACGTTCAGAAAGGTAAAGTTTGTTCAGAGCTGTACTGACTGTTTCAACTGCTAATCTGATGAGAGAGTCCTTCCTCTTCCACCCACACAGCAGCATCCAGAAAAGTTGCAATTACTTAGAAGTGATGTGGTTGGATTTTAATGGAGACTGCCAAATTAAGCCAGAAGCAATGTGAATGATTTGTTCAGGGTCACATGTTGAACCTGAAGCAGGACAGAAGACCGAACCTGGGAATCATGACTTCCAGTTCTCCTTTAACCATTTGAAAATATTAGCCCCTAGTCCTGTGGAAAGCGAAAGTACAATAGCAAATTCACATTCCAATCATTTAAACTGTAAGGCCTGTAGAATATTAATACCTGCTTTGAGAGTGTCTTGTACATGTTCGTATTTTCTATACAAGATGACTTCCAATTATATAAACTCACTGATTTTTCATCCACTATAAAGATGTTTTATTGCAGTGATATAATGTTCACGTGCACACACCACAGCAGTTCTGAGAAACACAATCTTGTTCTTTCTTTAGAGTGTCTTCATTTTAATTAATAATGTGACTGTATTTTCTGGGGAACCTAGTTCTGTACCTTTTGCTCTTGGAATGGGATGAGTTCATGATGCCACATGTTGGTTTTTGTGCACTTCATGTTCATTCTGAAAGACAGACGTGAGGATCTTGAAGCCCAAAACTAAACAGTTGAAAACAATACAAATTATTTAATGGCGTGAGTTTAAAAGGGAAGAAGCAATTTCCACTAGGAATATATTTTAAACAGATCAAGGACTAAGTGGATCCTGGACACAGAACTGTCCTTTTTCTCCTAGAAAGGGTTCTTCTATGTTGAGATGAAAGCATAATGGCAGGGTAATGTGGGTGGAGCTAAAAATGCACACAACAATATTAGAATGACAAGATCCAACTGTATATTTAAGTAAACTACTTTTAAAAATATTTTCCCCATGTTATTCCAACTGAAAAGACTCTCTGGCCCATGCAGCTTTCTGATGATTAATGTGGGGTAACCAGGAGCTCTGCCAGTACGAAACTAATAAGGTGGAGCTGTTTAATTTTTTCATCTCCTGTAAGACAGGATAGATAGAAACAATCCATGCCACCTGCTGGGTTTGCAGTCATTGTACCAGGGTGCTGTGCACCTTGCAGACTTAAACAGAAGCGTATGATTAGTAAAGGAGCTTGAGGAGCCCTTACTTCTTAGCCTGGGAATGGTATGAATCTCTTAGAAGGGTATACTGTGCTGCCTATTATGGGGACTGCATAGTGGTACATTGCTCTAACTCAGTAAGGTGCTTATCCAATCTTGAATCTTATCCAGTGGCTTCATCTGTGATTATTTCTTTTTTCTTTCTTTTTAGGAACCTTTTAGAACTTGAAGAACCAGCTGCAAATCATAATGGGGGGCAGCTCCTCTTTGGTGTGGATGGCTACATGTATTTGTTTACTGGGGATGGAGGAAAAGCTGGGGACCCTTTTGGAAAATTTGGGAATGCTCAGAACAAGTAAGCTGGAGGATAGATTTACAAGTCTCTTGTATGCATATTAGCACATTGGCTCAGTACATGATGAAACAGAATTTGGGCACAGATATGGGCTAGGGACAGTAATAACACTTAAACTGGTATAAATGATTGGAAACTGGTTCAAATCTGTAACCGAACAGAAATTCAGTCCACATAAACTGCTTTCAAAATGGCCAAAACTAGTTTAAGGTGAACCTCATTAGACTTAACTGATTTAGGTTAAATCAGTTTATTGAACTTCTGTCCCAGATCCCCTCCAGACTCAAGTTAACTCACAGTTCCCCAACATCCCAAGATTCTTTGCACCTCCTCTGCAAACCCCGCCTTTCAGGAAGGGCAGGCTAGCCCAAGCTGTCTGCTCCAGCTAAGCAGGGAGGCATGCTCAAGCATCTCCAGCTTCTGGCCTAGGCCACTGCATGAATGTGGCTGCATTTCCAGAATCAAAAGTGACTGTCTGTTCCCTTGCTTATCACTTCAATCTTTGCAGTTTAGACTAACCTCTGAAGATTGAATCAATTCAGCCTTGGGCTTTTTGACTGCCTGTACTTAGCCATGTAGGATGGAACAATAAAACAAAAATGCTCCCTGTTCAAGCTACTTGACTAGTCATTGCAAACCAGGACTATGACCATCATTCAGTGTCCTCCATGTATTTCTGAGACCAGTTTGGAAAAAAACTATTTAGGGGATATGGATGTAAGGGTTCATTGTTGTTGTATCAAATTTTACAGAACTGAGATCAACCTTTTCCAAAAAGGAAAAGTGTGGGCAGGTGGAGGAGGACAGTCCAAGCTAATGTGAACAAAAGGAGAGGCTCTGTTGGCTAATTTGCAATAGAGCTCCTATCTCTCTCTGTGAAGCAGTTCTGATTCCCTCCAGCAGAACAGAGAGGTGTGCACGTGCACACACATACACATACAAGACACTGCAGTATAGTATCCACTAGGGCTGGTTGAAAATAACCTGAATGTTGAAATTTGACCCAAAAAAATAGAGTAAAAAATCATGCAAATTTTTTTAGGGTTGGGGGAAGAGGCAGTGTTCCTATTCTCCCTCCATCTTGGCTGTGGACATCTATGAGCTGTTATCTGCCATTTCGTTAACCCAATGTCTGCACCTTGTCTTGTTTTCAGGAGTACATTATTAGGAAAAGTTTTGCGAATAGATGTGGATGGAAAAAACCCAGGTGGAAAGCCTTATCACATCCCACCAGATAATCCCTTTGTCTCTGACCCTAAGGCTCTCCCTGAGATCTATGCCTATGGGGTCAGGAATATGTGGCGCTGCACTGTTGACAGAGGGGACCCAGTCACCCACAAAGGAAGAGGGAGGATATTCTGTGGTGACGTTGGACAGAACAGATTTGAAGAAATTGACATCATTGTTAAAGGAGGGAACTATGGCTGGAGGGCTAAGGAGGGATTTGAATGTTATGACACAAAACTTTGCCGTAATTCCTCCCTAGGTAAGCTACTCGCTTCGATTGCTTGAAAGGGCACATCCCATGCAATGTGTGTTAAGATAACAACTCTGCTGCCATTTTTCCAGCAAACTGCAGTAATCTGAAGTCAGAGATGGGCAGTATGTTTATGTTTGATAAGAAAAACAAAAATCCCTGCCAACCCAGATGCACTGAAATGAAAAAGGGTCCTGAGACCTGGAAGAATTCCCCATCATACCCTGCACATGCAATACCCAGTCTAGTCATTGGAAGTCTTTGTATTTAGTCAAGTGGTTACTGGATCAGGACCTAAGTGTATTATGGGAAGTATTTGCTGGCTATTGGCTAATATTGAAGCCTGGCTACCAGCCTTAGTGCTGTGATCCTATAGCAAATCTTACGCAGGAAGCATTGTGAGGTAGTGGGGTGGGATTCAGAAGACCTGGGTTCTAGTGATAGCTCTGTCCCTGAGTGTTTTTGGGTAAGTTATTTTATTTCTCTCTGCCTCAGTTTTGCTGTATTTATAATAGGAATAATGATACCCACCTGCTTTGGAAAGTACTTTGAGACCCCCTGATAGATTTCATTACTGTTGTTGTCATTGTTATGTCCCTTAAATGTTTTGCTGATAAACACTACTCTTAGATTAAAAAGTGTAAATGATTCTTGAGGCGTGAAGGGTGTGTGTGCGTGTGCATGCATGCACACCCACACCCACACACCACCCATCTGTCTACATACCACATGGCCAGTGGTGATGTTAATGGGGTGCCACAACTAGAGAATACTCTTATTGTTTTCAACAAGGGTAAGGGTAATACTGTGGCCTAAGGACTAGGAAGGTTATCTTGTACCTGTTTTAGCTTTGGCTGCCAGGATTCAGATTTTTACCAAATTAAATTTTTCTCCCTCTACTGTTCAGCAACAAAACAAAAAAAACAAAAACCCCATAAAAAAGCAGAGGCTGAGTGGCAAGTTTTCAGCACTAAAAGAGACAGAACCAGCTTTCATGGTAGCAGTTAGAAAGTTGGGAAGTAATTCAAATGTTTGGTATTACCTAGGGTTTTTCAGAACCAGATTTTCAGCTGCTGCCCATGGTGAGGACACAACTGAAGACTGATGTTTGTTCTATGCATTTATTGTGCTGGGAGGCTGCACAACATGTAAAACTTTAACTGTCTGCTCACATATTTTGTCATTTCAGTAGAAAGAAATATTTTTTTAAGATAATCTTTATCAAAATGTTTGATAAAATTGGCCAGGCCAGTTTCAACATTTTGGGATCATGAATTCTAATTACAGTATATACCTGGTGTGAAGAGTATTGGTCCAGTATGCTAGGGAAGTCCACTAGCTGAGCCTTGTTGAGCCACATAGAAAGCTCAGAGTTAAATTCTTCACTGGTGTAATGAGTTGAAGCATTGAAATAAATCAAGCTTTACATTACTTTATATTAGCTCTTTTGGTCCTTGCTTTCCTCATCAGTGTTTTAACCAATTGTTTTTTGATAAACTGTTGAGTGAAATATTTTCTTGGATTTTGTATTGAACAGATGACATTCTTCCAATATTTGCATACGGCCGCAAGGTGGGGAAGTCGGTCACTGGAGGATATGTATACAGGGGGTGTGAGTCACCAAACCTGAACGGCCTCTATATTTTTGGTGATTTCATGAGCGGGTAAGGAAGTTTCTGTTCTTTTCTCTCCAGCTGCCCTATGCACCTATGTTTTCCATCAGTGCTATTTCTGTATATCTGAATCCTTGTAGCCCAGAGTAAAAGAATATCCCAAACATTTCAAACTGTTTGGATCAAAGTTTTCTCTGGTCCATTATGGAAATGGCACCTGTAACATTTTCATCAGCATTATAACTTTTCCAGAGTTACAGTGTCTTATTATTTTTATTCAAGCCTATCTTTACTAAAGACAGCATGTCTACACATGACACTATGTCACTGTAGCAACACACTATGGTGATGTAGTGTGTTTCTATGGCGACGTATCATGGATGGGCACAAACCATGATGCTGATGCTACATCATCGTAGTGATGAGTTACCTTGCTATAGTGTGTCGCTATGGGGAAACGTAGCTGCTAAAAATAACTGCGCTGCCTGGACAGCCCAGTAATGGCTGTTCCTGCACTGTAATTTAGTACTTCCTAAAGCAAGTACTAAATGAGGATGCAGAACAACTGCACCATGGGGGACATGCGTAGATGTGACCAGTATTGAGTCAAACCCTGTTAAGGTCCTAACTAATATTTTTATTTCAATGATACATAATTTTGGCAGGAATTAATTCTGTTAATGGGAATATGAAACAATAAAACATAAATTTTATTTTTCATCTAGTCGACTTATGGCTTTACAGGAAGATGAGAGGACAAACAAATGGAAAAAGCAAGATATTTGCATTGGTAGCACTAAAGCCTGTGCTTTCCCTGGGCTGATCAGCTCCTATAACAAATTCATCATCTCATTCGCTGAAGATGAGGCAGGTAATGTACCTTGCTAGCCAGAGAACTGGCTTCTGTGAAAGCTTCAGGACAAATGGGTAGGCTTATGCTATTCTCTGGAAGTGCTAGCGTAGGGAAGTGACTGCAAAACTGTGATGTAGTGTCTCAGCTCCTGGAGCTGGCTGATGTTTTAGACAGTTCCTAGGTGCAAGCTCTGTGAGTTTATCCCACTGACCTGGAAAATATGCAAATGTTGCTTTGTTGTGGAAGCTGGGAAGTCTCCAGACTGTGTTCTCATAAAGTGTGACATGGATGAACATTACACTTCTGCTGTCTCTACTCTTCCTCTAAAATTTTGCCCTGGTGCTATAATGTAATTTGAAATGCAACCATCATTTTTCCTGGCATTTTTTCAAACTACAATACCCTTCTTCATATTATACTGAGGACTAATCAGAAGATGATATGAAGAGTGGCTGATTTCTCCAAATGCAGATCTGAGCAGTCGATTAACAAAAGCCTTCTGTCATAAATGATTATTCATTCTGGCTTCTGCTTGATTTCCTTTTTTGGTACTTTATAAAACAGCTAAATATTTGTTCTGTGGACTTTTCCTCTATTTGTAGTTGTTGAATGCCTTTGGAATAAAAACCAGACTCTTATTTAAGAGTACAAACAAAATACAACGCCCATTTGGACTGTCATCTACAGGAACCCACTGGAGCCTGGTTGCTGCCTTGTGGTAGGGATGGAAGGATTTCTGGGCTCACGCAGTGCCACACTGACATAATTGGGTCTCTATGTGGGCACAGCCATTCTGTCTAACTGTATCATGATGTTGGATTAAGTCCCAAGGCTTGAAAAAGAAACAAAAGGCAGGCATGACCCTTTCTGATTACATGAGTTAGTAGAGAAGCTAAGGATGAAGGGGGAATTGTAGTGTATCACATCCGGGCTTATTTGGAGCACCTGCACCTGAATCTGCTCATGTTCTTAAATATTCTCTCTCTGTCTGTTTAGGGGAACTTTATTTTATGGCTACATCATATCCCAGTGCTTATGCACCCCATGGATCTCTCTACAAATTTGTTGATCCTGCAAGGTTAGTGCTAGTTAAGATTTGGTTTTTCTTTGCCAGCTGCTTTATAATCACCACATATTCTGTGGTTGTGTTGCCAGGCAGGGAGTACATAATCAGTAATCTACACACTTACATTTTGATCTCGATTACCTCACTGTAAAGCTGGAGCAATTATACTAGCTTCAGTGAAGTTACTTCACACTTATACTGAGAGTAGAGTCCAGATCAGCATCTCATAAACATTTTGGTACAATATTAAATAACATTTTTTTTCTTTAAACATCCAGGATACAATACCAACTTGTTTTAATAGTACAAAAAAAATTCATACCCATCAGGGTCACAGTGGAGATAGCTTTTGTCTGCGTCATCCAAGGACCTTGTAAAATAAAGAAAACTTATTTTTGTAACAGCAGGAAGTTCTTTTTTCAATGTTTTTCTTTCTACTAACTTTAACCTGTGTGGCTTAGCTCTCACATTCCTGCCCTCAGGTCAGCAGTGCAAAAGAAACCCCTGAAAAAGGGGTGGTGACCCATGAAATATTAAAACACGGGAAGTGGCTGAGGCTGTACAACAAGCTAAGGGAGACTAGATGCAGACTGGTTATAGGCTACAATGCCTTTCCCTTTAGGGTGTTAGTTCCAATCCAACTTTGTCTGTTTAGGTTGTTATTCTTGACTTACTTGAATGTAATTAGTGGTCTGAGAGACCTAGATTTTGTTACTATGGTCTGGCCCCTTCAATTGCCGAACTCTACAAACAGGCTAAGGACTGAATGGGCCACAGAAAACAATGCCTTTTTACCATGTAAGGTAGATCATGTCTTAGCATGTTTTCAGGGAAAGCTTGTACTGCTACCCTCTGGGAAGCACCCAAGATCGGCACAACAAGGTTTCACTTAATTTCTAAACTGACTTAGATTGAAAATGAAATTAAAAATAAATGGTAGGGGCCAGTCTTTGTGTGTTCTAGCTATTCCAGCACTGTGCAGAGAGGCTAAATGGGTTTGACAAGGTCAGTTCTGAATCACCTCTGTGCATGTCTGTTAGACTCCCTTTGGATAATGTTTGGAGGTTGTTGATATGCTGGCACTTTCCTGAACTTCTGCTGTCTGTGACCTGGCAAATTGCCTGTCCAGATTGGTGTCTGTAATTGCATGTAAAGAAAAGCTAGTTTGCCAAAGTCAATGTGATGGGCCTTGGGAGCAACCACAAGGAAAAGAGTTGAAAATCTACCTTTGTCCTTGTTTCATTTATAACTTACAATTAGGGAATAAAACTAGTTTAGGAAAACTGGGGGCCAGAGTTAACACAAACTGGAAAGCTGTTGATCAAAGCTGATGAGGAAACAAAGTCCAAATAACTGAAGGGTACATTCATAAAATAATTACATAAAGTTTTACATTTCTATAGCCCCTTGTATACAAAGTTCATAAAAATGATCAATTAAGCTTCAGTGTGATGTACAAAGGGTTTGTTCCTGCATTAGAAAAGAAAAGCTAAAGGACAGAGGTCCAGATTTTCAAAGGGATGGCTTACACAATTTTGGCTGAGCATTCAGCTCCCCTGTGGCAGTAGAACTTTCTGGTGGCAGAAAACACCAGCTGTGCAAGCAATTGAAGACTTCTGCCACCACCCCGTAACTGACAGAAAGCATGTGCAGATGCATCTGAGCTGGCTGCCATCTGTCACAGCCCTTCTAACAGCTGGTGTCTCAATGGCTAGGGACAGAAGCTACACATAAACCAGGTAAGTGATCAGGAACTGATTTAAACCTGTAACAGAACAGAAGTTCAGTGCACATAAACCAGTTTCAAAATGGTCAAAACTGGTTTAAGGTAAACCTAGTTGAATGTAGTATCAGACTTAACTGATTTAGGTTAAACTGGTTTATGGAACTTCTGTCCGAGACTCCGTCCTGATTCAGCTTAACTCACAGTCCTCCAGCATCCTAAGATGCTGTGCAGCCCTGGGTTGTGCTCTCTGCCCCCAGCTGCCAGCAGGCACTTTTCCGTCCCTGGCAGCCAGGAGTGGGGCGGATTCCCCCACCTCATCCCCTCCTCAGCTGGGGAATCAACCCAGCTCCCAGCTGGGATGGGGGAATAAAGTACCCACTGCCAGCTTCCCCCCTCCACTGGGCTCTTGTGGGGGAGTCCCCCCACCTCCCCCCCCCGCCCCACACTCCCTCCTCAGTTGGCCTGCAGGCCAGGCAGGGGTCATGGCCAGGGAATTGCCCAAGCTCTGGTGAGAGGAGTAGAGCCCCAGCTGTGGGCTCTGCCCTTCTTCCCCAGTGGGGCATTCTTGGGTCAGCCTAGAACCCATGGAAGGGCTGGCACTTAGGCAGCAGAGACCCCCGATGTACTCTCTGCCGGGCTGGCTGCCCCCAGAGAATGTTGCGGCCAGGGCAACAGAGTGCTTTCCCCCAGCTGTACCAGGACGTGCTGGGCTGCTGGCCGCTCTTACCAGGAAGCCCCATGCTGCAGGATGTTTTAGGTGGCGGAACTTTAGCTGGCAATGTGAGCCCTCTCCCTCCCAGAATATTTTTCCAAGCAGGCCTCTGACTGGCAGAGGCCCCTGGACCCATGCGTTAATCTGCCTCTGCCTCTGCCTTTTCACTATGCCAGGATGGGAGACAGATCAGAGAGGCTAATGATATGATCCAGCTTCTGTTGAAGTCCACAAGAGTTTTCCCATTGGGCACTTTTATACATGCTCTGGGGCTGGAGTGGGGGTGGTGGTGACACTTTAATTTGAGTGGCTGTCCAGAGTGGCTCTGAGAGACACTTTAATTAAAGTGCTGCAGCATCTTGTGTATCAGTGTCCCCATGCTTCAAAATGTTGGTGGGGGTCTTGAAGTAAAGCTCATTTGATGGGTTTTAGTGCAAGTGCCCCAGATGCCATTTTGCAGTGTAGGGACACTGATACGTGAAACATGGGAGGCTGCTGGAGCATGGTAGTTGCCATTCTCCAACAGACTTGATTGATTAAGTCTGCTCCAATGTGCTGTAATTACAGTGCATCGGAGCAACCTCGTCACTCATGTACAGCCACCCATTGATTTGAATGGGGATATGGATTAGGCCAGATTAAAAAATGACTTAAACACTTCCACCAGGACTTAGGCAGACATCAGGTACCTTTTTCCAAAACCACAAACCCCTGCTTAGCAGCGGCCCAACTTTTGAGGTGCCTAAACTCAGTCAGTGTCTCCCAGTATGACCTGAATGGTCTCTAGGCACATGCTGAGAACATCCCTGGCCTAAGTCGTTTTGTGCCTAACTCTCCATGGGAATCTAGAAACATGTAGAGCCAGAGCTTGGCCTTCTAAAATCTTTAAAGCATTTTTCCAACAAAAGCTACATAGCTCTCCATTCCGTCATTTGTTACTCCCTCCAGACTAATTATAAGGTGATACTGATGATAAATTCTCCCTGGTTTTCCTTTGTAAACAGTGAGACTCAACTTCAGATTTTACCAGATGCCTGAAGAGAGTTTTTAGGTGATTGGTTACTTGCAAGCTCACAAGGAGATGGAGCCTGGTAATGGGCAGCTTTAGCAGGACTGGAGGGTGGGACAGCTTTCTTCCTGCCAGGAGAAAGGTTGGCTGTTCTGAAAGATGTTTTCTTTTTTCCTGTGTTTGAGCAACTTCTCTCCCCATCTTTCATGCCATTGCTTGTCTTCTAGAGCATTACTGCACCTTTAATCGTTTTTCCCTTGGTCTATGGGAAGTTTTTCTTCCCAAACTCCATGTAACTTCTGCTATCTTGGGTACATTGCTAGCCTCTTCAGCTTCCTCTTGCCTATTTGATTAAGTATTTAGGGTGCAGACAGGAGAGCAGCTCCCTGTTGCAATTCATAGCACTTTGCATGAAGCGCTATGAGTTGCAACAATACTCCGCACCCAACAGAAGCTCGCTGTTGCATTTGCGGAGGAGAATTTCAGCTGCTGGCTGCAAGACTGTAGCCTGGTCTCTGTAGCAACACTACTCGCCCTCCCAGACCAGACAGTGTTTTCAGAATGGGAGGGGGGGAAAGGGAGCAGAGGAAGCTCATTCTTGGGGTTCCCCAGCTGGTGCTGGAGGGTGAGGCAGGTGGATTGGAGCCCCCCTGCCAGAGATGGGGGGGAGGGTGGCTCCAATCCATCCACCCCACCCTCCAGTGCCAGCTGAAAAAACCCAAGACCAAACTCCTTACACTCCCTTTCTCCCCTCCCATTCTGAAAACAGTTATAGGCTGGGAGCTCCCTAGACACAAGTTATAGAACACGCTCCATTTTGCAACATTTTTCAGATTTTTGTGGGATTGGGTCATTTTAATGCTGTGTGCAGCCGTGCACTTCTGTTTGGTCACAGCTGGAGACCACTTTTTGGGGCCAGATCAAGTGAAAATTGTCACTTTTTTTTCACTCCTAATTTTACTGAGCGCCTAATTTGCAGATATATGCTCAGTGCTCAATTCCAATGCAACCTAAGGTTTCTCAGCACCACAGAAAATCAGGCCCTTCCAGCTCTGACACCTCAGGATATGGTTCAGTGGCCCAGTTATTCAAGATATGGAACACTAACTGCAGCAAGATATGATGCAGTGATTGAGCTGGATAGCAGCTGGCCCTGTCTTGGTTATAACACAGTTATCTTCAGGGAGTATTGAGTGATAGAATGAGAGGGGTGGGGGGTCGTGGAGGCTTAGGGCTTTAATTTTCATCTTGTTTTTCTCTCTTTGCATTTTAACATGATTTACAGTTTTCTTCTGTTTCCTCTTTCCCTTTCTTAGCATCTGACAAAGTACCAGGTAGGTTCATAGCATAATAGGTTAGGGCATACAAAAATTAATGCTTCTCTGAACCATTTAATCTCTGAGGAACCACCCTACCCTGCTTTCTGCCTCTTTTTATACAGTGGTTTTCAGCCTATTTTGATTTATTATCCCTTTTTAAGTTTATAATACTGCTGTGTAGTCCTATAAGTCCATGTTGTGGGGAAAAAACAGTAACACTACAAACACAATGTAAACTTTTCATCTCTGGAAAAGGTATTGTGGAGTTGTTCCTCTTCATTTTTTTATAGTTCTTCCTTTTCCTCCATGTCTATTTTCCCTTTCCCTTCTTTTTTCCACTTGGGTACCCTTTGAAGTTGGCTGGAAATCCTTGGGGTATGTATACCTCAGTTTGAGAAACATTGCTTCAGTGAAATGTGGCCAATTGCTAGGAGAGTGACCCCTTAGACCAACTTGTTTAACAAGTGTACCCCTTCTCTCTCAGAGTTCCAGCTCATGTACCCCTTTATATTTTTTTCTTGTTTTTAAGAGGTGGGGGGAGGGGGGAAACAAATCAAGGCCCCCACGGTGAGGGATTGAGTGGGCCTGGAGCTGCACAGCCAGGGCAGAGCATGGGACAGAGCCATGAGCAGTTTGCCCAGGGAGGAGGGTGGCAGCTCCTGCTGGTGCATGAACCCTGGGAGGGCATGGGGGTGTGCACCCCTGGATCTGTGCATGGGGTGAGCATGGGCTGGCTCCACAGTGGGGGAGGGAGTGGGGCTGGGGCAGGGACCTCCTAGCTGGGGTGGGGTGTAGGACTGAGCTGCATGGGAGGTGGCTCCCGCAGCTATGCGCACCCCCAGAAGGGCATGGGGACATGCTCCCAGATCTGTGCAGGCTGCGGCTGTGGGCTGGGGCCAGTGCCAAGTTATTCCCAGCAGGGGTTCAGCTGGACTGAGCTCAGGGCGGGTGGCGGTGGCGCTAGGAGGGAGCTATCGGGGTGGGGGAAGGGCTATGGAGAATGTTGTGGTGGCTGCAGCTCCTTCCCTAGTCCCCTTCCAGTGCTGCTGCTGGTCACCCAGAGTGTAGCCTGGCCCGGCCCCCCACTAGGAAGAGCCTGCTGCAGCCCCAGCCCCAGCCTGCAGTGGCATCCCGCCCTGCCCCATGCCGATCTGTACGCACACACCTCCCATGCCCTCTCGGGGTGTGTGCAGTGGTAGGAGCCACCCCCTGCATGGCTCAGTCCTGTGCCCCACCATGGCTGAGCAGCCCCTGCCCAGCCCCACTCCTTCCTCCACCACTGGGGCCTCAATCTGCTGCTTCCCCCTGCTCCCCCTCCCCCTCAGGTCCCTTCCCTCACAACACACTTACCAGCTGGACCCGGCTACTCTCCAGGCCACCTGGGTTTGGTATCTTTCATAAAACTGCACCACAAAATATTTCTCCACTACAACATCAATGTTGTTCAACATAAAAAGGGACACCTTTTAATTATTTGAATTTCCCCCACCCTAATGACAACTGTTCTAGTTTCTGCTGGGGCATATGACATCACAGGGAGAGTCTTTTTGTGTGATCTCTACTTTTGGAAAAAAGGAACTTCCTGATCATTTCTCAGATCTCTGTATGTGTTTTTTTTTTTTAATGCTTTTAATCTGTTTTCAAGGAGAGCTCCACCAGGGAAGTGTAAGCAAAAACCTGTTCCAGTGAAAACCAAGAGTAAGCATGTACCATTTGTTCCACTCACAAGTAAGTTTTATTTTGCTGTGGCACAACCTCATACAATCCCAAAGGGCTATTGAGATTTGTGGCAATCTTTACAGCCAAAGCAGTAAGCCACCACTATTAAAACTACACAGTGAATATGTTAATTCAGACTTCTATTGTGTAATAAATATACTGTGTTTACCTCGCCTCTGCATATGAGTTTGGAATTGTCCAAATTATGGGTCTGGGATTTTTTGGCCTTGGTGACGAGCAAAAATTTGAGCAAAATGTATGACAGACTTTTGGTTAAGTCACTTGACTGGGATAGAGGAGACTATGTGTGCAATTCCTGTCTCTGCCACAGACTTCTTGTGTGATGGTGGGCAAATTATTTAGCTTGTCACTGTAAAGTTGGGGCAATAACACTTCCTTCCTCCCACCTGGTTCTCTTTTTTTTTGTCTGGAGTATTAAGACTGAAGATATTCTGAGGGAGGAATTGCCTTCTACTGTTTCTATGAATGTTTTCCCTCAAAATTAGGTCCAATTTTGCTTAGGGCTTCCAGATGTTACTATAATAGGAATAGTTAAAGCTATTAAAAATGATCAATTATTAACTGATTGAATCTGTTGAGAATTTTTACCTACCTTAACTTTATTAAAACCTGCTTGCAAATTCCTTCCTTTCTTATTATGCATTTTTGGTCTTTTGCCAAAGAAATATCCCATCATTGCTTTTTATTATAAAACTGAATTAATTTCTCTAGCAACACTTCAAGAACAAGCCATAGTTCATGTTTCTTGAAGATACAGATACAAAAAGAGAAGAATGAGGCAGTTTCTTTTTCTCTCTTTGGAAAGAAAAATTGCTACTTGTGTCTGTTTCTATGTGTCAGTCTGCCAAGGGGGGCTGAGTTGTGGGGTGCAGGCACTAAGGCACACAGCTGATAGCCCAGAGGTTGCAAGCTTGAGGCCACAGCAGAGGCACTCATGGTGCAGCCTGTCAGATTCCAATGAATCTGCTAATTCTGCTAAATACCTTGTCACGAGGACATGAAAAAGGAAAGGGTCTACTGAGGCTCCGTATTAGTTGATATTTCTGAGTTAGTCTTTTGCTTTAAAGCAGGAATGCTGAAGCATGTTAATTCCTTTTCTCAGAAACAGTCCTTGAACTGCTTAATGAACCGTCAACAACCAAGCCTCCTAAAAAATCTTATGCCAAAAAAAGCAAGAAGCCTGTTTCCACCCAGACCAAGGGATCAGCGGTAAAAAAGAAACAGAGTGGGCAGGCATCTCAGAAAACCAAGGCCAGAAAGCCTAATTTAGATCTACCAGAGCAGAAAGCAAAGACTCCAAAGGTTTCACCAAAGACTAAAGGCTCCCAGTTTATCAAAACCAAGAAGAAACCTTCCCCTCTCCCAAAGAAAAGAGCAGCTCAGGAGAAAAGCCAGAAGAAACAAAAAGGGGTGAGATCATGGCGCCGCCTGTGAACTCATAGGAGCTATCACTGAGCTCAAAATAAACTGAGTCAGATGATGTACTTGCTGAATATTTCCATCATAGACCTAATTAGCTGAATCGGATCAATGTTATGACTCCTGTATTTTCATAAACGCA